CTTTCACAGTGTAAATACAGTGTTAAATTCAAAACAGCACAAAAATAAATTACAACTTAGTCAAAATCACGAGGAAAAACTAACAACAACAAAAACAACCCCCTCCTTGAAAATGGCTAAAAAAAGGCTGAACGCGCTTGGGACAAAGAAAATTATGGAGAATTTCTATTCTCCCTTACTCCAACAAAACGGAGAAACGTAAGGATGCTGAAAAAAACTAAAAAATTAATTAAAATCTTCCTTGTCTGCAGCATTTAATGAAAGATATTTAAAAGAAAGGTTGCTACCTAAATGTACATTAATATATATATATATATATTCATGAATTATTCACACAAAAACAAAAGCAAAGGTTAATGATTTAATTGGCGAGAAATCCATCATCGCAAACAATTCAAATAATATACAAAAACCTCCGAATCCGTTATGAATGAATTGATCCTTGTTTCCATAAATTTCTTTTGGATAATAAGTGCGACATTACTGTAATTATTGAACAATATAGTTCATGCCACTTTGACAGAAAATTTACCAGTAAAACATTCGTTCATCACCATATTTATATGAACGCACAACCTTTAAAAATTTAAAATCAAACTCAGCGTTGCTACTGGCGCGCTCCAAAAACAATAACTCATTTTCAATAGCATTTTCGGATACAACAATACATATATTTTCGTTGTCCTCTTATTACTAAGAGAAAAAAAAAGAACAACATCTATTCTATACCTGAAGATGTCTGTAGGAACAGACGAAAGCTTGTAGTAAAAATAAGAAGTAATACGGCAGTAATATATGGAAACAAGGATCAATTCATTCATAACGGATTCGGAGGTTTTTGTATATTATTTGAATTGTTTGCGATGATGGATTTCTCGCCAATTAAATCATTAACCTTTGCTTTTGTTTTTGTGTGAATAATTCATGAATTTGTAAATTGATTGCACGTTTATCGTAATATATATATATATATATATATATATATACATATATATATATATATATATATATATATATAGTTTTTTGTGTTTATGTATATATTTATGCATATACTTGCGTATACGTAGGTATGTCAATGTGTTTTTATTTTAGTTTATATACTTTTTTTTCTATGTCTGTGTGTTATGTTAGAACTTCCGGATTTAGTTATCCGTTTACATATATATATGTATACGGATATGTGTGGTTGTTTATATGTGTGTATGTATATATATCTTTTGTTGTAATTATTTACTTTGTGTATAACTTGATATTTGATAAAAAAAACTTTGTTCCTGTATATAATATTTTGATAAGTAGTTTTTGTCGTTTTATTATTGTATTTGTGCTTGAATCTTGGTGAGTTTGTTTATTTGTAAAATTATTTGTAAGGGTGTGTGATTAATTGTATTTGGTTTTACTTGTATGCGTTTGTTTCGGATGTAATTTTCTTTTACGTTTTTGTTTATTTGTTCTTGTTCTTTTATTCACTTTTTAATTCTTTATTTTTACTTTAATTTTTGTTTTTTGAATTTTTTCTTTCTTCTTTTTTGTTTTTCTTTTTTCTTTCTTTTTCTTCTTTCTTCTATTTCTATTTCTTCTATTTGAGGGGGTTGCATTTAGTTTTGAATTTTTAAAAAACTCTTTATTTCACAATCAACACTATTACTTGATAAGACACCAGAAGTGTTGAAACAAAATGGCTATTTTTGTAGTGATGTTATAACATGCTTGTGTTATAATTTTTAAATAAATATTATTTGCTCTACTTTGTATTGAGCACTTTTTTTAAAAAATAAATAGTGGTTTTGTTTATCGTAATTTTATTCCATCTATACCAACCTTGTATTCGGATATATATATATATATATATATATATATATGAAGAAATATAGTTTTAAGGTATGCTATATTTATTGGATAAAATGCTCAATATCAAAGATAAAGCGTATGTAAATAGAAAAGTGAACATTGAAGTCAATATTCAAGGGCGACAGACTGTTTCATGCTAAACGCGATCATCGAGCCACATGCAAGGTGTTTTTTTATCGACTAATTATATATGCGGAAGCATTGTGGGTAATCTATTGTTTACTTATATATACAAGTACATTCTGGTTACTTTTGCATTTTGGGTAGTCTAGTCTAACAGTTATTTTGGTGGGAGTGGTTTATTTATTTGTTTATTATTTATTTATTTTATTTATTTATTTATTTGAACTCATTTATTTTACTTGGTTTTGCTTATTTATTTTTATTTATTCTTTTCAGTTTTCGATTTTTAAGTAACGTAGTAAAAATTTGTTTTCGTGTCTGCATTCTGAGATGAGTTCTGATCGTTTATATGGTAGTTTGTTTTGGTCTGGGAAGGTAACTATTTTTTCCTCCAAGTAGAGTTTGCAGTTTTTGACTTGATTATTGGAAGCTGATGTTCTTTTCCTTATTTTCCATGATATTTTTGGTATAATTTTATCATCAGATAACGAAGAAAAATATACATAGGAGTAACTGAAGGACCCTGGAAACAAAGAAACTACGCACACAAAACATCTTTCACAAATATTAAATAAGCGAACAGCACATTTCTTTCCAAGTATATCTGGAAATTAAAAACAAAAAGCAAGTCACACCAAAAATATCATGTGTTTAACACTATGTGTTTATATGGCTTCTAATGGAGCTGCGGTCGGATTGGTTTAAAGTAAGGTGTCTGGATAGTTATGTAGTAGTGTGAGTGATGCAATTATTTATGAGTTCGGTTTGATCAGGAACACTGTTCCTTTAGGGGCATTTGAACTCCTAAATAATGTTAGTTCGTTGTAATTTTGATTTTGCTTGTGTGTTGTTATTTTTGAGGATAAGTTTAGCTGTTTGAATTTTTTTGTAGTAGATAATTAATTTGATTTGTTTTTGTTCAGTTCAATTGGGTTAGTGTATTTCTTTATGATATTTCTAAGTGAAGATTAAACTTGTTTGTAGTTGATGTGATGGTTTTTGTAGAAAATATTTATGTTATATTTGACTGTATTCACTATCATTGTTATTTACTTTGGGAAGAAATAGTCTAATTTGGTAGCATATAAGGTGGTTAGGGAAGGTTAGGGTTAGGAAGCTCTCTTTAGAAGCCATTTAAACACACACACAAACTTACCAGACTCCATCTGAAACATACTAGTAGAAAACACAAACATAATAACTTCATCCACATGTTAAAAAAAATATTAAAAATAATGGAAGCCTTAATAATTAAAAATAAAAAAGCCAACACTCAGTAATATTAACTACGAACACGGACATAATGTGCTGACTGTGTTCGGAAAATAAAACATCCCTATAACTTTAGAAACATACATACAATCCATACACCCAATTAAAAAGCAAAAATAAATTCATCCTTGATAATGGCTAGAAGTATAGCCGAAAGCGCTCGGAATTCTAGAACATTTGAACAGTTTCTACACACTCTGTATCCCAAAAAGAAAACACTTGTTTGAACACGAGAAAAATTAGATAAAATGCTTAATCGTAGCCCCTTGTCTGTCGTCTTTAATGAAACATGTATAAATGAATGATTGGTGCTTAAATACATTATATATATATATATATATATATATGTGTGTGTGTGTGTGTGTGTGTGTGTGGACACTGGCATCAACACCAAGTGACGACAATCCGTTTAATACTTGAACGTAATCTTCAAGATGACCGGAAGATTTTGTTCAAGCATTACACAGACTGTCGTCACTCGCTGTTCATCCCAGTGCCCACACATGTTCTATCCGTGATATTGAACACTTTTACCCATAAATATAGCAAATCGTAAAACTACATTTTAATCAAGCACACAGACACACACACATACACAACATATATATATTGTCGTCCATTTCATAATGTATGACGTCATTTGTTTACATTTGGATACGCATTGAGCAGATATGAATGAATGAGAGAAAATCATGGAGAATTGTTTTTAAAAACAGTAAAATCGACCTTGCTAACCTAACGGTCCTCTGTGACCAAATCGGTTAAGGCACGTCAGGCTATATGACGGTTCCGTATAGGATACAGGTTCGATTCCTGGCGGAGGACGCATATTTTCTATGAAAATTTCTCGGACATTCAGGCCGGTAAATGTTGTTTAATACTACTTATTATAAACAGAGCATTTACTTAAATATTTATATCTATAAAAAGAATGAATAAACATAGAAAATGTTTTAAATAATTGTCGGACTTTGTCCATTTCATAATATATATATATATATATATATATATATATATATATATATATATATATATATGCAGTACGAATACCAATATATATATATTGGTATTTCTTTAATATCTGCTTATGCAAGTCCGTTCATATCTGTATTAGTTTAGTGAAATAAGCAACACCTCTCCGCCCCACGGACAGACAGTCATATATGCATTTGTGTCATTGCATCTTTGTTTATGTCTATGTGAGTTTATGGTGCATATATTTTTATGTATACTGCTATCGACTTGAGCGCGGAAACAGACGTCTACGTTTTAATTTTTTTTCTTGCATTTAGAAGCTAAAATTCTTTTCTGAGTTTATCGCAACTGAAAAAGGCTTCTTTGACAAGATTGTTATTTTGTTGCGTCTGCTTCTTTTTTCTTCTTCTAAAAAACGCAGAAGAAAAATTACAAAAGAAAACTATAAATCATCAGTACCGTCTGAAGTCGAACGAATTCAGCCAAATGTTTTGGTTGAAACAAATTATTTTCACATTCTTCCAGCCCTAATTTGACTCTGATGTGAAAGAATGCTTATTTATGTTAGAGATATACACTCAATCTGCCTTAGTCTGGCACAAGGCCAAGTGGAGGGATATTGATATATATATATACTAATATATATACTAGTTCGACAAAAGGAGAGCTGCTTGCTTTGAAAACCGGTTTTCGTAACACCCTGGTTATGTTTATTCTAACACAAGTCAAAATAAAAGACGAAAAAAAGATTATGATGTGACATCAATATCATTCAAGACAGATGGGGAGAGAGAGAGAGAGAGAGAGAGAGAGAGAGAGAGAGAGAGAGAGCATGTTTACTGTGAAAATCAGCGTTTGAAATAAAAGATTTTTACCTGAGCTAGAACATCGAACCTGGCAGACTATTATTACCGAAAAGAGTTTGAACCACACCTGGTGGTTCATATTAATAACTTTGTGCGAAAGTTAGCCAAGCCAAGTAAATACCTACAAATAATTGCCGAGAAAAAAATGTTCATGTGAAATATCCGAACGAAGTATCTAAGATGGATTATATGAAAACCAGTTGAATGTTTAAACTTTTATTCTGTTGTTAACGTTTCATTCAATAAGAACATCATCAGAACAACTCAAATGTAAACGCAAAATCGTTACCATAGCAACCCTGATAACTTAGAATGCTGTGATTAATTTAAAAATTTGAGAATAAAATAAATATTTATCAACTATCAATGAGATTTGTACATAGGAAAATGTTAAAATAATTGTAAAATGTAAAAGAATATATATACTTAAGTATAATGATTTAGAAAAATAACTTATTAGTTATTTAGTAATATAACTTATTCTGGCAAAAGGCCATGGTAATGGAGCACTCATAGAGGACTGAAATGAATGCATTTACAACTATACATGTATGCAGGGTTAAAACATAGACGTTCCGATTATGAGATCCTGGTTGGAATTTCGCCACAGTCTGTTTGTCAAGATGATGATTTCTTGATAATATCTGGGTAAGCAAGAGCGTGGAAATCCAAGATTTGTGAGCGAAAATAGTTAGCCCTAAATCACATGTCATCGTGACCGAAGGTGTGAGGGTGCTGGCATTATTCAATTATTGATCACGCCAGAAACTGTAATTAAAATCTGCTCAGCGTCCTTGCAGTAGGAACCACAGGTGGGCTCTCTGGGTGTTGAAGAGACACAAATATGCCTGACTGGCTGCATAGCGACCTTAACACATCGGTGTACTCATAAACGAGTAATAATCCATTATATATATATATATATATATATATATATATATATATATCCTCCAGCTATGGCTAAATAGCAGGACAGACTGGGTACTATAGCCTCGGATGGTAACTGGTCTAAGAGAAGGACAACTCTGAATTCAAAACCTGCAGAGGGTCGTTTGGGGACCTTATGGCACGTAGTGCACCAGATCTCTGTATTCGGCCCTTCAATAAGTGTGGATGAGTCCTGCACGAAACCTTCACCATTATAATCAAATCTCATGTGCTGTTGTTGGGCTGTCGATTTCCTAGGAACTGATCTGCTTGACCCTCATACTTCGAATTCGACGGGAGAGTCGAGAGAGTATATATAATAAAAGAGGCGATAACGTTTTTCCATACGAATACGCCAGTGGCCCGGAGAGCTCAATTCAGTTGAAGAGTAATGCATTAACAGCAGTAGATACGAGGTTAAGTAAAAAATTATCTACACTCTTATATAAAGATGTTATGGCGAAAGTGCGCATAGTTTTTGACTCACCCTCGTCAAATATCGCACATTAATTGCGCTGTGCATGAAACGCAGTTCTGATAACGGTGAAGAAAGATGTATATTTATTATTTACTATATATATATACATATATATGTGTGTGTGTGTGTGTGAGTGTGTGCGCGCGATGTGTAAAATTGGCAATGAAACCGGATTACATCACTGACGACTCACCTAGATCTTTATGATGTATTTTTAATTTATATATATATATATATATATATATATATATATATATATAAAATATTTAAAAGAAAAAGAGACCACTTTAAGGTACCATTATAATAATTTAGTTGTCTGTTTTTCTTTTAAATATTAGCTCTGGATTTACATTGAGCTCTCAGGATTTCATCCTCCTTGGGATTACCCATACGGATTACCAAGTTCTTCATAACTTAAATATATATATGTATGTGTGTGTGTGTGTGTGTGCAAAAGATGTTTCAATAGATCTATAACACGATGCAAATATTTTATTAGCTGAATTTTAATCAGAAGTATTTGCCTTCATAATGTTCGGTCCGTATGATCCATGGAAAATATTAAGTGCATTGACAATGATCTTAAAAATAATATATTTGTTATGTAAGTTTGCTTTTTAGCCACGTGTTTATTGACACACACACACACACACACACACACACACACACACACACTATATATATATATATATATATATATATATATATTTTTTTTTTTTATACTGTAAATTCTAGCAAAAATTTACGAAATAATTACACTTATTAAACTTCTTTATTTGCAGCCAATGAATACATTACAAACGGTGGAGTAAGCGGCTCGGATTGAGGAATCGGAGAGTCGAGTTCGAATTCCAAATACAAAGACCTGGAGATCGAGATGTACAGGATTTGGGGAATGAAGACTGAGACTGTACCAATAGTAATCGGAGCACTGGGCCTCGTGAGAAAAGGAATGGACATAGTGTCCCAGCTAATATCAACATACAAATTGCCTAGAAGATCGTCCTACTAGGAATATCCGATATACTAAGAAAAGTGCTATTAATTAAAAGACAATTCTTCTATCAGGCCTAAGGACCGTAGTTTGGAACCGGCTCTACAAGATACAAAGCGGGAACCAACATACACAAATGATAATAATAATAAAATAATAATTAATTGTTCTTGCGCAGTTTTTTTTTTTTTTGCTTACATTTGTATTATGTTGAAACATCGGTTCCCATACGATCACCGAAGTTAAGCAACGTCAGCGCTGGTCAGAACTTAGATGGGTGAGCGGTGCTTGGATGAACAGGTGGTATAATGGATAGTGGCTGGGAATTGTTAATCGGATAGCCGAA